AAAATTTCAAAAATCGTTTTAATATGTGTCCAACACATAAATTTTTGCAATGTGATTAAGAAATCATATCTATGTGTCGGACACATGCTTAATAACTGTACACATAAAAGCCATGTGTGACCACACATTCTACTCATTCGACTCATAAATTTCATGTGTACTTCTGAGTGAATTCTGCTTAAGTGTGGTCACATGAAAATCATGTGAAGTTTCTCATGGAAATTCGTCAAAAAAAATCTGTGGAATTTTGTGAGTGTATGTAGTGCGTTCTATGAATACGGTTTGCCAGGTACGTGTAACGCTTGTAGCGGTCATGCTTCTGCTGTATTAGAAAATCATGAATTTCCATCACGAAATCATGAATTAGTGTTATGATTTTATGGGTTGGCAAGTATTTTCATTTCATGATTTTTTATTCATGAAAATGTAATTGGATTTGTTCCCGTGTATAGACATGATTTTGACACTTTTGGGCAAACTGACGGAGGTATGAGCTTACTCTTTCACACTTGCATCGTAATGCTGGATGCTATAAAGAGTAGTCTGTTCATCTGTTGCAGTTATCCTAACCCCTATATTCATCACATTGATGTGAGTTACGATGAAATGCTTGATTGTTGCCCCCATGTATTATCCGGAATAATTTTCTTGCGGAGTTGAGTCTCAAAATGTGCTCATGGGAAAAAAAATATAATGGGTTAAAGACAAGTGTTTCATATGTAAGGTGTAGGATAATTTATACCCCTAGCGATGAGCTCGGAAACTGTCAGAAAATAACTTCTAAGGGTGAGAAAATGATCGTGCCAAGGACCTTTTCTCGCATCATGGAGTAAAACGAGATAAGAAACGGATTTGAAGATTTATATCGAGATGGTTGCAGTTCCCTTAACACAACGCTATAATTTATAGTAACGTCCCGATTACTGCTTGAACTTATTACCTGACGCTTACCACGGTTCAAATTTGTGAATTTAACCTTGGGAGAAAATGCTATACTAATATAAACATGAAGTTTTAGTGCGATTTATCGGCTAGATAAAGTTCTGAAGATGATAGACTGATAGTTCCATTTGGATACAACAGTGTAAAAATTGAACAGAAGTTGAAATTGAGCGAATGACCATCAATGTTACAATACTAATCAAATGCGCACACCTTTACCTAACTCACACATTGATGGGTGAGGGCATTTGAGGTATTTCCTGGAGGATTTGGATTTTGTATTCTATAACATGTATCGAACGTTTTATTCAGTTTAAGTTTTTTTTTTTTTAAGAGATGAACTAGCCTATGGCTAAAAATCTCTATAATAAAGGAAAAAAAAAAATACAGTGTTCACTCGGCTGTCGACAAAAGCAGGCCACTCTCGATGTGTGCTACGCGATCGTCTGTTTACTCGGCAGCAACCATTGTGTGGTCCTCCTCATTGTTCTTCATCAGCAGTTCTTTCGGTCGATGCGTCGTCGACTTTGGAAAGCAACCGTTTCGTGATGAGTGTGTGAGTGCTGACCACGTTTTGCGTCGATTGCTGCAATGGACGCGCTCTGACCCTCGTTGGCGTACAACAATTTGCCATACAATGAAACTACTGGAAGCGGCTCCAGTTCTGATGGAGGAGGCTTTTTGGATAGCGGAAGATAAAGTGTTTATTGTGTTGTACCTTTTGACTATAGCTTTAAGATGTATTGTATAGTGACCATGAACCCTCGGCTCTGTTAAGTTAATTCGGTTGAGCCTTATCAAATAAATTAATAAACAAAAAAAAAAAAAAAGGAAAAAAAAAAAGTTTAAGTTTTTACTGGACCAATCTTTATGGGTTAGAGGTCCATGCGTTTTTTTTAAATATCATTATTATTGACATTTTTAGTACTTGGCTAGTTTATCTAAGAAAGAGGTCCATGTGGTGTTTCTTGAAAAAATGTCTAAACAGTAGTACTATTACAAATCTGAGAAAACAAATAGCTGATGAGACCGTGTTTCCAGAAACAGAAAGGCACTGTACCTGGAATTTTGATTTGAAGATTACTGGAACATCAGGGAAATCAGGGAATTTGGTTTTTATAATTGAGTCGACACCATGCATAGTAGCACGCCCCCTTCACTCTTTGGAATGTATAGAGACATATAGCAGCGTCAAATGGTTTGTGACGAGACAACGTTGAACTTCAGTGTTGGTAGAAGTCACACCACTGAGCGGACGGTAGTCATCACTGCATTGTCAAATACCTTCCTACGTATTAAAATAGGATAGAATGGAATGCGTGCTGCGCTTGCCAACGAAAACGGCATATTTTATTACGGTTGCTTAGCAATGATTTTGGATACGTTGCATTTCTAGTGCCTGAGGTTGAAATAATTCTTTAGGGAAAGGAAATGTACTTACATGTTTACTTCTGTCCTGACTGCTCTGCTTATAAATCTTATTTTGAGCAACATTTTCGCAAATCATGAATTACTATTTTAAAATAGTGATAAGCCCTCAGTTTCAACTTGTCAAAATTGTAAACAACCAGCGTCAGCAAAACATTTTTTTATTATTTTGTTTATTAACATCAACAGACTCAATATAGCCCCGATACGGGTTTGAAAAAGCAAATAATCATTGGAGTTGCACTGAACCTGTTGATTTGTAATTTATTGCTAATAAACGAGAACCTGCCAGTTATATAACTTTACATCAGGCCAAGGAACACACATTCAATTTGAATTTGAATTTAACGTGTTAAGTTAACTAAGCTAAAGGCTATTGTTGATAGTGTTATCTACAAAAAAATCGGCTCTCTGAAGCGCCATCTTGAGCGACGTAAGCGTCGGCTGCTGCCTTGTAGCTAGTGGTGGTGCACTCCAAGTCGATGCTCCGAAAACAAGGACACTTTTTGGGTACTTGTGGTGTGATTCGGCAGGACAAAGGATCTTGCCCGCACGTTACGACCTCTAGGTGTGCATTGCCTGATGTACTCTGGATGGTTTCCATGGTAGGCCCGATACATGAAGCAGCAGATACGCCGTTAGTAGTTTTCAGGAAGATCGCATCCTAGTATGGTGTGTCGCACTTCTCTGGTCGTATTCTACCTTCTAATTCCATACACAAATCGCACCAACGACTTGAAGCATCGATGCAGTTGGGCTTTGAGTGCGCTTGGACGAGCTTCCTACGGGTCTGCATGGAGAGTACTCCACGAAAAAACTGGAACGTACAAAGAGTATTGTGAGCCTTTCTGGTGACCTCGTTGATTTAATCAGTCTATTTCAGGTTCGAGTCCATAATGAGCCCAAGGTTGGTGACACTGTTGGACAAAGCAATAGCCTCACCGCAAAAACGAATGTCGTTCTGAGGGATAGTGGCACCGTTTTTGCAGAAAACTATTGGTTGTGTCTTCCTTGGGTTATTCTTCTTCTTATTTTTTCTTCTTCGCATTTCAAGCTTGCATATCGCCTATTAGCTTATTGCGTGCTCTCAACTTAGTGTTCTATATGCACTTCCACAGTTATTCATTGGGAGCTTTCGATGCTTGTACCATTTTTGCATTAGTATAATTGTGTGGCAAGTACAATTATACCCTATGCCTAGGGAAGTCGAGAAATTTTCCAACCCGAAAAATTCCTAGACCAGACCGGGAATCGAACCCAGCCACCTCCAGCATGGTTTTGCTTTGTAGCTGCGCCTTTACCGACTGAGCTAAGGGAGGTCTTCTTCTTCATTCCTTTATTTAACGTCGGTCTCTGTTCCGCAATGTCAATCACCGACGGACATCAATTGCCATCCATTGACGACAATCGAATATGTATGAAGGCAGCTTCCACACCTGCGTAGGATATCGAACCTATTCAATTCAACACACATGGACCGGGACAACGGTTTTACTTCGCTTCCGAAGGAGGACGTGACCAGAGATTTTTATGCCTCAGAAAAATCCCACCGACCTTGGCTGGGATTGAACCCAGACCCATTGGGGCCCATATCAATTGTAAAAATTGTATATGGACAATTGTCTACGCGAGGGGGGCTAGAATTCCAATAAAACTGTCTACGTAGATAATTAACAGCCCCTTAGGACCTAATACATTATTCAGCTTGATGTGCTCAATTTATTAACGAAAGAGAAACTCGACGAAGAGAATCGATCAATGTTACTGAGGACCTAATGCAATGTTCAACTTGAAATGTTCTAACTGACCTATCTTTCCCCGTGTGGCATGTTGCCTCACCTTACCCAACATATTGTTTTTAAATTTGCTTAAAGGGCTTTCGAAATAAAGTATACGAATTTATCGGAAGGACTAAAACCAAAATTCTGGCAATAGAGCGTTAAGTAAATTATTTAACTGAAAATTAGCATTCCATGTTATTTCAAGCTGAACATTGATCGATTCTCTTCGTCGACTATCTCTTTGATTAATAACTTGAGCAAATAACCGTTTTTTGTTGTGTTTGTCGTATTATATGCTAGGCTAAAAGGTTCTTTTATCGATCTGTGTGCTGAAAATACCTGGTAATGTCTTTACATAGCCGTGGCGATAGAAAGAGAAAGTCGACGAAGAGAATCTGTCAATGTTACTTAGGAACTAATGCAATGTTCAGCTTGATTTATGCATTGAAAATACCGACACCACTTTGTCCCTCTATGGATTAGTGTTGAACAAAATCATTATTGTTAAGTAAACAAATCTTTGAAAAGAGAGCTTATAAATTTACTAAATCCCCCAATCCATTGTGATTATCGTTCTTTCAAAAACTGCATTGTAATCATGATGAATGAATGGAACAATAAACCATGAGACTCCATGGACGCCTCATATTCAAACGCCTTCAGTTATGCACCCTTTTTGACACAGGCCGCACCCCTTGCAATAAGCACATACATATGTACTGCCCATAATCGCATATCAGTCTCATCTTTGCATGATTTCCTATCGATATTGGACACTTATGCGATGATGGGCAGTGTAGCTCTCTGTATAACAGCACTAAACATATTTCCGTCTCCCTTTCTCCACAGACATCTTCAAACCACCGGATCAAACGATGTCGGTGACGATTATTCTTTTCTACGTGTTCATCACAGCGTTCATGCTGCTATCGTACAACCCGAAACCGCGCAAAATACTGGAATCGATCAAAAGCTTCCTGCTACATCTGGCTCATCTTAGTAAGAGCGTCGTTTCATCGACCATACACGTCGCGCCGGATGTGATACCAACGAATCAAACGGAGCCGGTTTACACCGTTTGGGACATTCCGGGGCCGAAGCGGTGGCCTCTGGTCGGAACGAAATGGATGTACTTCACCGGACGATACAAGCTCAGCAAAATGCACGATGCGTTCGTTGATCTGCACAAGCGCTATGGGAAAATTGTGCTCGAGCTCGATTCCGTACCGGTCGTCAATCTGTTCGATCGGGCTGATATGGAAAAGGTTCTGAGATATCCTAGCAAGTATCCCTATCGGCCGCCGACGGAGATTGTTGAGTACTATAGGAGAAGCAGACCGGATCGGTTTGCTAGTACGGGAATTGTGAACACGTAATATAAAAAAAATTATTTGAAAATTGTTTGAGATTTAAAATAGTTTGTTTCCTCACCAGGCAAGGCGAGCAGTGGCACGAGTTACGCGTAAAGCTAACATCAGGGATTATGTCCCGAAAAATGTTGCAGGCATTTATCCCGACGTTGAACGAAATAGGAGATGAGTTTGTAAACCTAATTCGTCAGAAGCGAGATGAAAATAACTGCGTGAAGGATTTTCAGGACGTCGCAAATACGGTTGGACTTGAAAGTATGTTACTAGGTGGTCAAAATTATGTGCAAACTATTGAACAAATCTGATTTCTTTACAGTTATATGTTGCTTCGTGTTAGGTCGTCGGATGGGATATATGAGCGGAGACAAGCAGAAGAATGAAAATTTTGCTAAATTAGCCGAAGCTGTGAAATCTACTTTCGTATATATCAGCCAGAGTTACTACGGGGTGAAGCTTTGGAAATATTTCCCAACCAAGCTGTATCGAGACTATGTGCGTTGCGAGGAAATCATTTATGAGTAAATATTCTGCTTGAGAAACATTTCCCAATTGTTGAAGTATATATACTTTTACTTTGCAGCACAATTGCCGACATTGTCAATGAGGCACTCACCGAGGAACAGGAGAAGTGTGCGGATGACGACTTGCGAGGCATTTTCCTCGACATTCTTCAATCCGAAGGGTTGGATAAAAAAGATAAGATTGTTGGCATAATCGATTTGATTCATGCTGCGATTGAAACGGTGGGTATTGTGTCTATTCAGTTTTCGTTTCGATGGATTAGATCTCTTGATCCTTGACGTATATCATAATAATAATTTGCCCTACTACTTTCAACTAATCTCATCGACTTCTGTGCCTCGTTGCAGTTTTCCAACACCTTCTCGTTTCTACTGAACAACCTGACACATCATCCGGATTGGCAAGTTCGCATTGCCCAAGAGTTTAGAAGTAGTCCCGAGGCCGTCACTAGCAACGACCTGACAAATGCGTCCTTCACAAGGGCCTGCATCAAAGAATCGTACAGAATTTCCCCCACGACACCTTGTTTGGCTCGAATTCTCGAGGAAGATTTCGTTCTTTCGGGATACCACCTGAAAGCGGGGGTGAGTATAATTAAGACTTAGTAGAAGGAACTAGTTTGACGATTTTTATTTTCGCAGACGGTAGTTCTGTGTCACACACGGGTGTCATGTCAGAGTGATGATAATTTCCAGCAAGCAAATGCATTTCAACCGGAGAGATGGCTTGACCAGGTAGACGAAAACCACAACGTGTACAAATTAGACGAACCAGGAGCTTCGCTGGTGCTTCCATTCGGAACCGGTCGACGAATGTGTCCCGGTAACAAAATCATCGAAATCGAACTAACGCTTATTATGGCGAAGGTAGAACGTTCTCGCTTTGTTCTTTATACATTATATACTAATTCAAAATTCTCATTTAAGATTTTCCAACAATTCGAAGTTGAATACCACAGCCAACTGGATACGCAGTTCCAATTCCTGCTAGCGCCAGGCACACCCATTGAGATTATCTTTAGAGATCGCGACTGAGAGTATACTAAATAGTCTAAGGCTTTCCAGCAAATTCCCTTCAAACAAACCTGTTATCTATTGTGATTAAGTGTTCTAGTGTTAACTATGCGTAACGTGAATTCTTTGGTACGAAGCAAGGGAGACAAACCGATAGAATCATATTGATTATTTCTGTTCAAACAGATTGTTGATCTGTGTACTATTACAACTGATTGTTCGCTAGCAGTTTATGCAACTGATTCAAGTAGATGTGTATATTAAAGTTAACGTGTAACACCTTTAATTTATTGCTTTTGTACAGACGATAAGGTATACTTTTTATAGAATCTAAGTAAAGACGTAGTTAACTATATAGACATAAACTAATTATATTCGAAAGAAACCATTTGTTCAAAGCCTTTCCTTACGTGACGTGTCCTAGAGTAACATGCCTGTAGACGTCCTGTTGAAAAATCTGAAAATATCCCGCTAATTATTTGAGTGATCAACACTTCCCGTCGTAAACCGCCATAATTCTGCGCAGTTAAGGAAAACGTAAATTCAACTAAGTTGTTACCACGATCACGTTTTTTTTTTAACTTGATTAAGGAGATTTTTAGCCATGGGCTAGTTGATCTCCGAAAACCGCGATCACGTTTCGGACTAAGGGAATCAGTGTTCTTAATGAGAGTTAGATCGACACAGTTTTATCCGTCCGTAAACTACGTTGTGCGTAAATGATGAAAAAGTTTTAAAGCTACTAGCGATAAATTTTTTCTACCAAAAAGCAGTGTTGCTGAGAATATAAAACTACCAATATCATTTTCATTTTCATTTTATGATGTACAAGGGGATCAGGGGCCATGTCACCGATGTGAATATTCACACCATCCATAATACACCAGGAAAGGGGAGAGCAGTGAGCAACACAGCATCTTTACCCATGGGGGTTAAAAAAGTTCTACGAGGTAAACTTATGGTAAACCAGCTGCTCAGGGATTGTAGAAAGGAAAGGGTTGGGTAGGTTTTGTGTGAAAAGCGCACAAGTTATTATCGTATCGTTGAAAAATGACCTCGTTTGGTTTGCGCTCTCGTCACATAGCGCATCGATTACATCACACCGTCAATGAAAAAGAAATTAAAAGAGATTGAAAGAGATTATTAGTGAGTTTTAAACTGTGATTTACCTATTAGAAATACATTTCTAAAATTATCTCCGTGTACTGAACAGCCATCTCTCTCGCCCTCCCGCCGCCTAAACATCTGATGGAGTGTGACGTCAAACTCCGTCATCCATTCAATCAGCCGGAGAACGAAAGAGCGTGCAATGAGCGTCAGCGACCCTAATAAAAAGTGGGGGGAACACCATACATGAACGATACCACAAATCGTGCCACCGTATCACATGTTGTTGGGATGATAACCCGAATAGGTTGTTAGGCACTCCTTATGGTAATCGTTCATGCGGGTGTTTCAAAGCAATTTATATCTAATCAACCCTCTGTGCGACCCAGCCCGTGCAATGTATTTAATGTTGAGAGCCTTGTGTGCTTTATCATGAGTGGTCACGGATCTGGCAATCTTCACATGACTATGCGTCCCGGTGACGACGAACAATAGGTTTTATACAAGAGTACTAGAATAGATCGTAGTATACTTACAGTTTTCGACGTTACCATGTACTCCTTGTTTACCTTCAGTACTTCTTTCTCTTGTTGTATTGTGCTGAATCATTTCTACTAAAATATCAAATGCTGTGCTTAATCACTTATTATTAGTACAGAGCAATAAACAATGTACGGTGATGATTAATCAGTTAATATGCTTTTATATGCGGGTTCAAATGCACTTTTGGTAAGCATCAACACTGATCTGGCAACACTAGTGTGCATCTTTCCAATGTGGTAAAGATCCAGATCAGCCCTGGGACCTGGTAGCCTAATTAATTTACCTCAAAGGTTTGCCAAAGCCCAGGGACAATATAAAACTACCAATATCTGTAACATTATCTGGCTAAAAAATGTTTTTCGATATTTCTTTGCGCCTAATTCCGCATTCCACCCATTTCAAAAGTGGGAATTCTAACTCACTTTTTAAATCGTTATAATTGTTAAATATTTGTGAGTTTTTACTATCGGAATCAAGTGGCACATTTATGGGGCTGTTCATTAACTACGTAGACAGTTTGCCAGATAATTACCAACCCCTAACAGGCATGGAAAATCATTTGCATTCATTTCGTGCATTCATTTACATTCATTTGCCTCTAACTTTTCTCTTCAACAGAATTCCGCAAAATGATGTATAGAGCTTTTGTAGGTTTTGTTATTGTTGACAAGTCGAATCCGTTTCTCTTATGCATGACGAACCAGAGCGAACAGAAGCCACTACTGTTTTTCAGTGAATGTATTTTACATTCACTGAAAAATAGTAACAAGTTCTGCCCGCTCTAGTTCGTGATGCATAAGAGATACAGATTTGAGTAATGAGCAAAAATTGTAGCTATAACAAAACCTACAAAAGCTCTATACATCATTTTGCGGAATGCTGTTGATGAAAAAAGTTAGAGGCAAATGAATGTAAATGAATGTATGAAATTAATTCAAATGATTTTCCATGCTTGACCCCTCCTAAACTGTCTTCGTAGTTAATTAACAGCCCCTAAAGGGATATATATACATTCCCACCTGTATTTGACGGGAGTGAAGGCTATAGGGTGACTGGATGCGAGACTATAGAGTAACGGGATATGTTCTTGGTCTATGGCCTTTTCCGAACACTTAATTCGATTTTTTTTTAATTGATGCTAGTTTACGTCATAGTAAAATTATGTTGAAAGAACATTTTTAGGTCAACGAATACAAATAGCTTACATTCAACATTCTTACAGCAAATGCTTTGCTCACGAGTTACATTACGAATACCTGCACACTTATTAAATTATTACCATATTCGGTAATTTTTTAACGAACTTTCAACAGATGAACGTTCGGTAATCAGTTCATATTATCTGTCAAAATTACCGAACAATTCGGTGATTTTCTGCAGAACAATTCGGCAGTTATTACCGAACTTCCGTAAAAAGAGAACTCAATCTTTTTTAAATCAACTACAATCGTTTGAGCCCTTCAAGAATAGTCCTCTGACAAATAGAACGGAGATATTGTATTTTGGATGGTAAAAATATTTTCGGTCTACAAAATAGTAATTGTTGTAGCAGCAGAAGTATTTTGCTGTTTATAATACTGGACTTCGTTCCATTCATCAGCACTTTAAGTTCATCAAAGCAACTGTTCACTTATAACCAAAGTTTCTTATCGATTTGACAGTTTGTACGTACAGAAGCTCGATAATCTGATTTATGATTTACAGTTTGTTCGGTTTTTTTTTTATATTTTAAACAGTTATTTTTCTCAAATAGTTCGTCATTTAAACTATCAAATCGTTACTTTGGTAAAACTTTACCGAATATTGGTAATTTTTTAATGTTTCACCGAAAAATCTGTTATAATTTTTGTACACGGCTGTCCGAATACTGATTTAAGGGGGTTGTGCTGAAGTGCAGTGAGTTATGCTGAAATGCGGTCAAACCCAAACTGGTTATTCGACTGAACACTGCACACTCAGGCATATTCTGCGTAGCGTGTGCGGTGAGGTGACACACTGTTACTTGTGTGACAATCGTCACCTCACCCGCGGTGACAATTAATCATGTTTTGTTGTTTTTGACATTATCCTCATCCAGAGGGCCAGTCACTTTCGAATGTATGGGAATGGTAGGAAACCATTTGGAAATGCATGAAAATTTTCAGTTTTTATTCATTATCGTCTTTATGGGCAGTTTTAGATGCACAAAAATTGCACGAGTACATTACTATACTCGTTTATTTGTTTCCTTCATTGAAAGCATGTTTAGTCACAAATCATAGATTTTCTGATATTCTCCATACTGAAGGGGCGACATCTCTCGGATCTTCAGTACCTCACTTCACTTCAGCACAACCCCCTTAAATCAGTCTTCGGACAGCCGTGTACAATTTATTTTAAATTTAAAAAAAATGGGAGGACAATTGTCTCAAATCCCAAAAAACAGTCTACGTAGCTTATGAACAGCCCCAACATTTTAAAGATTATTCAATCATTATGTAGCGGTGCCGGTGATGTAGTGGTAAGCGTGATTGACTCTCACCCCAAAAGGCCTGGGTTTAATCCCGCGCCGGCGGGATTTTCTGAGGCATTTAAATTGCCACTCTTATACGATGAAAAATTAGTACATCGTATAAAGGTCAAAATGTTGCATTATATATGTGTGTGTATTCAATCTAACCCCCACTGGCCGGCAGTGTTATTATGGAAGAATTCTCTCTACAATGTCGCATTTATGGTCATTGTAGACAGATTTAGTCCGGGAGCTAGAAGGTGATAGCTCTATTGCAGATCCAGCATCCCATTTCAGAATGTCTGGAGAGTCACGCCCATTCCGAGGTTACTTTCACTTACAATAAGCCCCGCATGTATGCATCACCGTTATCAAATGGATATTGGTATTACATACACGCTTCCAGGTTTGAAAATATATTTTTTCAAACCTGGCATGTATTTAGTTTATTTATGATATATATTTTTTTAATAATTGGAAAGCTCTCACCATATTCTGCTCTTCCGCCGTCGTTGATTACTTCTTTTGAAAATCCCTTGGACTTTTTCTCTAACGCTTCGTATTTCATTCCGTGCTTCACCGGCAATTTCCTTTCGTAGATCGTGCTGGTTGGTTCTTAAATGATTCCGCCTTTTTTGGTGGACTTCATTAAATTGAATTGAATTGCCATGGTGATCTGGGACGAGGCTCACGTCCAAAGTCGCTGTTCCACCAAGCGCTCCGTGTGCGAAAAAAAGAATGAAAGAAATACGAAAGGGATCAGTTTCAAGAAGTGACAGTTTCATCAGATTCCCCAACTAATCATAGTCAAGCAAAGTAAGAATATACAAGCTATATTGCGACTATGTGGTTACTTGGGTACTCATATGGCCGTCAGAATGGTTCATCGGTTGCGAAGTGAATATTTCTGAAAGTGATGCGTTATATTTCTCAATGTTTTGATTTTATCCTAACGTTACCTCCATGTTATATGACAGACAAGCAGACACAACACATTGAACATTTATCATTGTAAACCCTACTGCCATCTGTCGTATATACTTTGATGGGCAATACACTCAACAGATGGTTGTAGTGTGTAAACGTCAAACGCTAGGGAATTGATTATGTGCACCACAGGTTGCGGTACTACCAACTAATAAACATTTAAATTGACCGTTAAAAACGATTTCGATGAAGGTTTTAAGAA